GTGCTCCTTACCTGGGACTCCTGGCTCTTCCCACTTAACGACCTGCACGTCTTGGGGTTACGACAGTAACTGGGACTGCCATTGCTAAGCAATGCGGTCACGTGACGTCGTGTTTTATGACTGCATTGCTTAGCGATGGAAATTCTGGTCCCAATTGTGGTTGTAAATCAAAGACTACCTGTATGTACTTAAAATGAAGTATCAATCCTGAGTCACGTTTGGTAATTTACACTAGATTCCAATACCTTGTAGAACTTCGGTTTGCATCTGGGAGATAACCCTGAACAAACCCTGTTTGGAAACTCCGTTTTTGATTTCAGGTTTGAAAAACAAAAGCATTTGCTGGGAGACCCCGTTTTCAAAAAAATAATTCAGCTTTGCCTAGATTTGTCCTGTACGCAAACCATAACTCGGGATTATTAGCAGGGATGCATTTGTGAACCAATCAAAAGGTGCAGTTCCCACGACCACTTTGGGATGGGCTGAAGGCACAATTCTGCAATTTAGTTTGCCTTGGCTGACCAGGGTTGTAGCATTTGGATGGGAGACCACTAGGAAATCTCAGGATTGTTGAGACAAACATGGTGGCGGTATTAAAAAATAATCCAACTTACAGTAACAGCGTCGCTGTATCGATGTGGTGTAAGTTAGCCACTTTCCTTGTCATGCTTCATCATAATAAGTCTTGAAGGAAAAGTTCTGAAGTCAAGCTGGTGGAATAAGTGAATAATCCAGTTCAAAAACAGACAGAAAAAACAACAAGAACAAGATCCTTTTGTTTAGGGAAGTGTATAGAAATCAGCCTTGTGTCTATTTAGACTGGGCTGATGGGGGGAAAAAAACCCTCTGACTTTTGGCCGTATCCAGATCAATATGCACGAAATGATTCAATTCCTATATTCTGGTGGCCTGAATCTTTAGGGCACGGAAAGATGTCAGAAGTTTTACGAAGCAGACCAGCAACGCCAGCAACACCAACACCCTACATCAGAATGCAGAACCAACCAGTTTTCATGCAGGTTTTTAAAAAATCTCTTATATACCCGTGGTATTAAAAAAGTGCATACTGAAAGATGAATCTATAATGCAAGAAAAACCAAACCAAACCAGGTATCTGTGTCTTTTTAACAATAGCTGTTCCCAGGTCAGCATTTCCACCCCAAAAACACTGAAGGGTTTTAGTCTTTATGAGGCTGTTTTGAGATCACGGCACCTTCTTTGCTCTCAGCCTTTGGGTGGAAATGGCACCAGAGAAGACCGCGCACCTTCTCCCTTTCAAAGACCAGACAGAACCAAAGCTGAGACGCCCTGCCGCTCACATTCCATTCCACTGGGAAATACTTGAAATTAACTAAATAGCCATAACAAATCTATGCTGTTAACGACGTTTCTCCCTTTTTTTGGGGGGGGGTCTTTTTGTTGTACGTTTTACTAATGTGCCATTTGTGTAAGAAACATTTTGGCTGTGTTCACATGACCCATTTAACCAGCCCAGTTATAGAGAGCAGCGGTGTTCACACCTGCTTACCTTTGCCAAGTCCTCCTCTTGCTTTGTAGGTGTGCAAATTCACCTGGTTAGATTACAGATTTCTGAGGATTATATGAACTGAGAAGATGGATTAGCTCAGTAGCTAGTTAAGCCGTTCGTGTGAACGCAGCCAGAAAGTATGACGTTGGCCCCTGTCTTCTAATATGTTTCATTGTAAATACTACTTACAAGTTGTACATGGAATAATTACTTAACAAACAACAAAAACTTTTGGATGTTCGGTGTTCAGTACTAATAAAATGGAACAAACTGTTCACTTTGTTTCATCACATGGGATGAGTGCTGCATTTATTTAGCACGGAGTTTTTCCAACTGTTCTGTACCACCGTGGGGTCCCATGAGAGGTTCCCAAACTTTCTTGGTTCACTGCACCTTTAGTGTCCCAGTAATTTTTTCATGGTGCCCCTAGGCCAACCGAAATAGCTAACAGTTCCACTGGAAAAAAAACACACATGAATCGAAAGAAAAGACAAGATTTTCATTTCATTCTTCAATAACCACAACCGCTTACTAATGGGATGTGGGCACCTGTTGGGCACTGCGCAACTTCTCAAACGTTGGAGTCAGATTGGACATCGCCACTCCTTTCCACATTGAGTTTTGCACAGTACTTGCATTTCATCACAGCAACTGCCAAAAAGCGAGGTTTGCCGAGATAAAGACGTGACAGACATTTAAAATATCCCAGTGTGTCCTGATGAGATTGTTGGGGTGCTGCAATGCACAGTTGGGGAGTCTTGGGAATAGGGGCGGGAAAAAAAAAAGGTCATTTGTTTTGTGAGATGGGAGGCTATATAAAATTTTAAAATAAGTAAAATGTAAGTAAAATAAAAAGAGGGAGAGAAATAATAGAAAATGCAGGCAGTTTTCTATTATTAGAGCTTTGCCTCTTGATCAGGGATTCCAGGAATTTTTAACTAAGAGGTTTTCTGCAGCCTGAACAAGCTTGGAAAACCCTGATTTAGGGCTGACTGCGATGACTGATCAGCACTGATCCAGAGATTGGAAATATGCTTTAAAATTGATGACAAGTCCTCTGTTGTCCTTAGGCATCACTTATTGCTAGACTCCAATAACTTGTGGAAGACCACGGGATTCTCCACCCCTACTTTTTGAAAGAAATGATTATTTTATGCATCAGAAAGACGGGTTTCTTTTCTTAGCGGTTGACTTACAACCTGGTTACCTCCAGCACCGTTTCTCAAACTCAGCATCTTTAAAGTGTTTGGACTTCAACTCCCAGAATCCCCTAGCCAGCACATGTGGACTTCAACTCCCAGAATCCCCCAGCCAGCATGCTGGCTGGGGGATTCTGGGAGTTGGAGTCCACATACCTTAAAGTTGCTGAGATTGAGAAACAGTGACCTACAGGATCCTCTTTCTCCCATGTCTCTGTCCAGCCAGTAAGATCTAGAAGAGCTGGCATGTTCCAGATCCCATGTGTAAAGCATTGTCCCCTTGTGGGAGCTGGGAGATGTACCTTCTCTGCAGCTGTGCTTGCCCTGTGGAACCACATCTGCCCCTGAAGTTGGTCTGGCTTCAACTCCATTGGGCTTCCCTTAAGTTGTGAAAAGCTGGCTCTTCCAGCAGGACCTGGGGTGGGGCGCAGTTTTATTCCCCGGCCGTCTGTTTTGTTGGTTAGAAAGTGTTCGGTCATTCCATACACACACCCCACGTGTGGTGGGTATACACATTTCTTGTTATTTTTATCCTTTCTGTGGTGGTTTTTCACAATTCCAAGTAAGTTGCCTAGAGTTACTGTGATGACTATGGCAGCATATCAGTCAAGCAGATGAGAATATATTCTGCAAGCTCGTGGTGGGTGTCCAGAGAACATGGGTGCATTCCAGCAAATGGAGCGTGGGGCTCAGCTTCTTCCCATGTTGCTTGTCCTTGGCTGAAATGTCCTTTTTTCTAAAACATGTTAAAGGTGCCGGAGACTTTGGTCCTTAAGGATATTAAACAAAGGCAACTGTTTAAAAAATACCAGACAGTTCCAGCTTCCACGGGCGCCTGCCAACCAGCCTGCATCTTCCTCTCCCCGCTTGCTTTTTCAAATACAGGCAGATTCAAATCGGCCTTTTCCAAAAGTAACAATAGCTTTATTTGGTTTAAGTGATACAGTAATCAGGCGGCTGGGAACATGGCTAGGTGGATAAAGGAGTCTCACCCTTATTTTTTTGCAAAGTAATATTGTCCCCCTCCCAAAAAATAGCTGGATCCAGAGTGCACGCAGAGTCTGCTGCTTGCTCCCTTGGCTGCCTGTCCCCATACCGCCTGAAGCTCCTGGAGGAAAGGCGGCATATAAGGAAAAAAGGGCCGAAGTCGCTCCCCGGTTGAAAAAACGAGTGCACGTGGACTGCAGCCGCTGGAAGGAGCAGGCTGGCGCCTCAGCCAATGAGGAGCCAGCTGAGGAGCCTGGCCCCGCCCCTTCGCAGCAGCAAAGCTCAGTCCCAGGGGCGGGCCAAGGGACAGAGCCAAGACGGTCTCTGCGCCTGCGCACTTGACCGAGCCTACCCACGCCCTCTCTCCACCCTCGGCCACACACAAGATGGCGGCGCGGAGGTCCTTTCCAGTCTCTTTGGCGCTCTTCACCAGGCCGCCATGCTGGTGAGGGCGAGCGCGGCGCTGCGGCGGGGCCTCCCGCGGAACTTGCACTTCGGCGGCGGCGGCGGAGACAAAAGGGCGACCGGCGATTGCTTCCCGTTGAGTCACCGCGCGCTCCTTCGCCTCCAAGGCCCGGAGACGCTCCCCTTCCTCCAAGGACTACTGACCAATGACTTGACGCGCTTAGCGGAGGTGGGCGGAGCCGCGCCGCGCGCGCTTTACGCACACGCCCTCAGCGTCCAGGGGAGGTGCCTCTATGACGTCATCGTGTACAGGTGAGTCTCGCGGGAGGGATGATCCCGGGCGAGCCGCGGCCGGACTGCCGCGCTCATCCTCCCAGCCCTCGTGGCAGGAAGCGATGGGAATTGTAGTGCCTACTTCTGCGGGAGAAGGGGGTCGTTTCCGAGCTCGGGGAAGGTTGATGCAAATGAAAAGAAACCCGAAGATACCAATTTACGCAAATCCTAGGAAAATATTCAGGATGCATCCTTTATGTTCTATATGTCCCAATAGTATAGACTTAACTTCTGAAGGGCCTGCCTTTGGCTTAGGGGAGAAAAAAGAACTCGCTCCCTTAGTAGGGCACCCATAAACCAGCAGCGATACCCCAAATTGGTACAGCTTCCACTTGCATCGCTGGTGCTGAAACAAACTGCCGGGTGCAAAAGCTCACCTGGGTTTAAATGGTGGAGGAAAGGTCCAGCTACGTTTCAATGCGGTGCCTGGCTCTCGAGTGAACGGGCCTTTGGTCTTACAGTCTCCTTGTATCCCTCACTCGTTTGGACCTGATGGATTGACTACGTGCCGTCAAGTCGTTTTCGACTGCTACCAACCACATAGATAGATCTTCTCCAGGACGATCTGTCCCCAGCCTGGTCCTTCGTGCCCCCATCGCCACTGTAACTGAGTCCCTCCCCCTTGCTGCTGGTCGCCCTCTTCTCTTTCCTTCCACCTTTCCCAGCACCAGAGCCTTCTCTGGAGAGCTGGGTCTTTGCATCATGTGTCCAAAGTAGGATCATTTGTGCCTGGAGTGAGAACCCTGGGTTGATTTCTTTGATGATCCATCGGTTTGTTTTCTCGGCTGTCCACGGTATTCCCCAACACCCAAGTTCAAAGGTGTAAATACTTTTCCTATCCTGCTTCTTTGCAGTCCAACTTTCACCTCCACAGAGAGTCACAGGGAAGACCATTTGGAATAGATTTCCATTTATGATCTAGATAGTTGGTCATGGATTATAATGCATACAGGTTCAGAGTCCAGCTGTTCTTCCCTTGATAGGATGAAAAGCTTTTTGTTCCAACTTCAAGACAGCTGACCATAGGCTGGTCCAACACCTGGTGGGGTTGGTGGCCTCCAGAGCCTTGATGCCCTGCCGGAGAGGTAGGGTGTGGCGCCCCCCGCCACAAGCTCCTGTAGCTTGTCCTCAGCTCCCCAAACCAAGTTCAGAAAGTCAAGTTTGATTTGTCCATCAGGCATCAGGGATAATCCCTCTATATATAGCAAACAGAGCTGTGCTCATTGTGGTAAGGAAAATTTAAAAAGGTTATTTGGTAATAGTTTCTCAAGAGCCTTCGTTTTATATATCGATAATGCATAATCAAGGAGAGTCATGCAAAGATGTTCACTTGTAAAACCGTGTATAATGTTCAAAAACCATGAGGATATGCATGAAAAACTTAAATAGTGTATCATGAACATAGGTGATTTTCCAGATAAAATGAAAATGCCCCAGAGAATTCATGTTGCTATGGATGGATTCGGTGCAGATTTCAAAGTCTATGAAATACACCAAAGTTGAATCCGGAACAAAATCATAAGAATTTGAGAATAACTTTTGATTATTTTTCTTAGCAGAGTGGAGGAAAACAATGCTCTGTATTATATAGTCCCAGTGATGTGATTAGAAGGTTTGGAAAGGAACATTCCAAGATCCTCTACAGGTAGTCGTCATTTAGCAACTGCTTTGTTTATGACACTGATGAAAAAGTCACTTTGCAACCAATCCTCAGATTTATGACCTTTGCAGCTCTAAAGCAAAGGAAAGCTGAAGTCATATCATAAGCACAGTTGCCGTTTCACTGAGTGACCGTTTCGCTTAACCGAGTGGCTGGTCCCAACTGAGGTCACTAAACAAGGACTATCTATATACTGGTGAAACTCAGTGAAAATCTGGGTCAGCAGTATCAATTTAAAATAATGGCTTAGTCATGCATTAAATCAGTGTTTCTCAACCTTGGTGACTTCAAGCTGTGCGGACTTCAACTCCCAGAATTCCCCAGCCAGCATGCTGGCTCTGGAATTCTGGGAGTTGAAGTCTGTACATCTTAAAGTTGCCAAGGCTGAGAAACACTGCATTAAATAGTAAATACATTGAACTGTAGCATGATGAAATCATGCACCCTGCCAGTTCATTCCTAATGTAATGCTTTTGGACCCAAATGATTTTCAGGGAGCAAAAAAACATGGTTGCTTTTTATAATGTAATTTGGCATGTCCTGCTGTAGGAAATAGCCTAGGATGTTAGCATGATGTCTGTGCCGGGGGAAAGGAACTTACTGGGAGGAAATAGAGCCAGACTTCCAGATGAAGACCGTCGCATTATCTCCTAATTTTGGATCGTTTTCAGGGTTCATGAAAACAGGCAAGAAGAGTGCCACGTCCTGTTGGAATGCGATGCGACCCTTTTGGACTCCTTTCAAAAACATCTGAAGCTCTATAAGATCCGCAGGAAATTAAACATCGCTCCCTGCCCTGACCTCTGTTTGTGGGCTATCATTCCAAAGGAACCGTCAAAGGATGTCCCTGCGCAAAATGCTGGCAAAGCAGTGGTTCTAACCCCAGATCCCAGAGTGAACATTATGGGTTGGAGACTGATCACTGGCAAAGACACAGACCCTCTCGAGATCATCCCGGGAAGCCAGATTGGAGATCCAAAGGATTACCACAGGCACAGGTATCGACAAGGTAAAAGTGCCCTCCCCATCGCCATAGGGAGCCAAACAAAATTGTAAAAAGTAGGTGCTTAAAAGGATAGCAATATTGCATGGCCATATCTCGACAGCATGTGCACTCAAGCGTCTTTGGGGCAAAATCAATGTTACGAGTGCACAGATTTACAGGTATTCCCCAGGGGTTAAAAATGACCAGTTTGAGGGTGACCCACACTTAAGAACGGAGCCTACTGTAGCAAAATTCGAGTTAAATACCCAATGATTCGAGTTAAATACACAATGGTTTGAGTTCATTACACAATACTACTTATACAGTATTATACAATAATACTGTTCTGGCTTACGTACAAATTCGACTTAAGGACAGACCTTGGGAACGGAACTCGGTCTTAAACTGAGGATTCCCTGTAATTGTTTTCCTCATATATCCCTGATGGAAATAACAGAGTTGGGGCAAAATTGAGAGTTCGGTAAATAAGGAGAAGAGGAGGGGTTAAATCAGTTGAATTTGAATTGAAGGGCTAATAAAAGGGAGTGACACTGAATAACCTATCCTTCAAAACATATATCAGTCACCTTTCCAATTTCCTCCTATTCCTTGCATGTATTTTTATAAGACTGCATCTTATTCTGCCTTGCTAGATGGCCACCTCAAGCTGACCCTGGCTGATCGGACCTAGTTAGGTATGGATGGGAGAAACACCAGGACTAATGTTAGACTGAGAACCAGGGTGGGGATGATGGGTTTGGGAGTGGAATTTGGGACATGTTCTTTGCTTTTTAATGGTGAGGTGTCTGTTTTAGGAGTTAAAGTTTTCATATTTCTCCATTCTGAAAATAGCAGGTGACTGTGTTATTAGTTATTGGCCATCGGGGCAGAGGGGGAGCTGAGAGCTCCTCATTGAAAAGAAGCCTCAGGAGTCACATATTGCCCATCCCTGAGCAAGTCCCTAAGAGAAGTGGGTTTAAAAAAAAAAAAAGGGCTGTGGATTCTTCCCTCCTCTCTTTGCTTTATCACCAGATTACAAAACCCATTTTTGAAACAATGACCTGGTGAATCTGAGGCTTCTGAATAATAATCTGGTAGGGCAGATACATTTCATGCGGCTTTACTCACTGTAACCATGTTCTGTATGGCTTCATTTTGGAACTAATACTACTGCATCACTGGCTGGACTCGGGCAAGCCACCTAGGAGGAACTGGAGGAGTTCCTGAGGAAGGCACAGCCTACCTCTGCTAGGTGTGCTTTATGGGTAAGAATACTTTCGCCACAAAGGATGATCATGTTAGGACAAGCTAAGTGCCGCATCCTTCCAGGTTATTGTTAGTAGTAGATTTCTGCCCTATTTTTATTTTCTACAACTCAAGGCGGTGTACATAATATTCCCATCTCCTGTTTTCCCTACCGCAGCCCTGTGAGGTGGGTTGGGCTGAGAGGAAGGGACTGGTCCCTGGTTATCCAGCTGGCTTCCGTGCCTAAGTGCGATGGTATGTGGGAAAGACCTTGGGAGATGGGGTCAAGAGGTGCTGCAAGGGAGCAGTCAGATAAGAGACAGCACAGCCCTCAGCTGGATAGTGGGTGGGGCAGGAGGCTCAGAAGGGGCCCTCCCTAGTTTCTCAGGCTGTAAAGGAGACATGGGGAGAGGTGTACTTCAGACTTGCAGGACCCTGTTAATGTAGCCTTACAATAAAGTAGAATTAACTCATCTGGTCATGTTTCCTGTCTGGTGTACCTGGTAAGGCTGGCACTAAGGCAGTACTAGAACTCACAATCTCCTGGTTTCTGCTCCAGCACTAGATGGTTCCTATGATGCCCTAATATTTTCTCTGTAGAAACTTGCTGAAGGGGTCCAGTGAACCCAACCCCACGGTCCATAGAGGACGCATGCAGTTCAGAGAAGAAATTCTAGCTCTAACTTTATTGTAAGGTTCCATTCACAGAATCTTGCAAGTCTGAAAGTCCATCTCTCCCCCCTCGCCTTTACAGCCCAAGAAACTAGGGAGGGTCCCTTCTGAGATGTTTGCCCCATCCACATTCCTGCTGAGGGCTCCTCTGCCTCTTATCTGACTGTTACCTAGTCTGTGGCTCTTCCCTGTCACCCAGGTCATTCCCACATCCCGTTACATCATACCAAAGGCTGCCTAGCCTAGCGTTCACTTCCAACGAAGCCCACCACCTCTCTGCAGAATCAGCTGCACTTGTGAACGGAAATGGTCCTAAAGTTCAACCAGACGGTTTTGTTTTCTTCCAGGTATACCTGAAGGCGTGAAAGATCTGCCTTCTGGAACAGCTCTTCCTTTGGAGTCCAACCTGGTTTATCTCAACGGTGTAAGTTTCACCAAAGGCTGTTATATCGGTCAGGAGTTGACGGCAAGGACTCATCACATGGGCGTCATCCGGAAACGCCTCCTGCCCATACAGCTTTCGCCGCCTGTGCCTTTCGAGACCCTCGCTGAAGGCACTGAAATTGTGACCCAGTTAGGAAAGTCGGCTGGAAAATTTCGGGCAGGGGAAGACGAGTTTGGAATTGCGTTGCTGCGATTGGCTACTGTAAAGGAGCCGTTGCGGCTGAAACTAGCCAGCGATTCGCAAGTGACAGTCACTGCTTCTGTTCCCAAATGGTGGCCCCAACCTGCCAATAAATAGGCACGATCTTCTGTGGAACAAAATTTGCATCATTTATACCTGCTGGGCTTGACGTTTGTTTTCAGGTGCTTCTTTTCACAACTTGTGCAAAATTAATAGCTTTTAAAGGAATAATGGTTGGTGACAATGTCAACTTTCACACCGATGGAAGACTGTGAAAGTTCAGTTCCCTAGTATGTGACGGTGATATTTTTCTAACTTTGTCAGATTTTTCATCTCATCCTCACCTTTCTTCCTCCCAGAAGACAAGGAAAGAGTTGAACTCCTGTGAGTTTTGCCCAAGTTGGCCAACTCTTGATTCCTTACTTTAAGTCTCTGTATGTTGATACTGGTTTCCAGTTACAACTATCAAAGTGGTTCTTCCCCTGAGATTCCTTGACACCTTAAATCAGTGTTTCTCAAACTTGGCAACTTTAAGAGGTGTGGACTTCAACTCCCAGAATTCTCCAGCCAGCCATGCTGGCTGGAGAATTCTGGGAATTGAAGTCCACAC